TTCACCAGCTTACTGGATGAGAATGAAAGTTATCCGTATGGCTAATACAAAATGGTGTAAGATGATTCAACCATCGATAATGGTTAAAAGTTCAAAACTTAAAAAGTTAGTATTACTTAATAACGAATCGACTTCTGTCAATTGTTATTTGAACTTTAAAGTTTAAACTCATTTTATGGCTTTTGTTCTTTTTTGTCTGTTAGGTATACCATGGAACACTCTGTTCTATAGAGTGGACTGGGCGGCAATTTGCCAGCAACCCCTCTGAGGCTCTGATCATCTGACCCCTGATACAAAGCGCCAGTCAACCCCTGTAGCCCCTCTTCTGGCCCCCTCTGGCCCCTAACCTCCTCCCGTTCGACCCTCCTATGCCCTGTCGACCTCTCTTTATTTTTTTGCCCGCATTTACTCCCGTTTGACCCCTCCTGTGGCCCCCTTTTGAACACCCCTCTTTCTCTCTTTGCCTGCATTTATTCGGCTGCCTTAGAACAGTTAATAAAGATATTAAAGAAAGACAAACAAGTTCGTTATGCAGGAGGGCAAAAAAAAATAAAAAAAATTGTACAATCATACAATGACTGCGCTCTTGGAAAAAAAAAGGGGGGGAAAAAAGCAAAGAGCCCCAAAGATTGACTCGAGTCTAAGCAAAACTGCTGATGATACAATCGACATCAACCATTATCCCGCCCATAGCCACGATATTATTATTCTACTATTCATCCAAGTAATCGTTTCTTTTTTCTACCGAAAATATGGTTTTGAACTGCATTGCATCGTGTTTGCGCTCGGTGACCGAACCCCAACGCTTGCGCCCGAACGCGGAGCACCAACACCCTCCGAACGCAAACATAAAAATATTAAAATACAATTCTCATAAAAATCTGAAAAAACAAAATTTTTATGTACAATAATAATAGAAACAACTTTTGCCTGGGACGCATGTTCTAATCCTTCGCCAAACACAAGATAAAAAAAAAAAACCGAATTTATTTTTATCTTTTTTAATCTGAAAAAAAATTGTTCGGCCGAACACCTGGATGTATTCGGGCGTTCGCTGAAGCTCCGAACATGTTCGGTGTGCTACACAGGTTTTGAATAATTTGCATTATTATTAACTAATAACAATTCACTCAGGGTTGCCAGGCCGAATGTACGGAGGCCCCTGAGCTGACCCCCGAGTAAGATGCAATTTGATTTGTAGTAGATGGGAAAAAAAACGGCCCGGATCTTATCTTCACTGGCGATGTGTTTGATGGAGTGGAAAGAAAGGTACAACAAGGGGCGCCTTTGCTTTGGATGGATGTCGGACAAGTACATATCATACAAGATACACCACCTCCGCGAATGCGTTCCCCATGGGCAGATTGCAATTACTAAAAAAGAAATACGGTACATCCCCTCTTTCCAGAAAATGGATCCCCTCTGTTCTGGAAAGAAATGTAGCTCATGGATACTGGAAATGTTAAGTACCATGACTGTATAACCAGTCCGCACAGCCGCCATGAAACATATGCAGAACAACGACTAGACACTCTAATTGACATCTACGACAGACCGTATTGTTGACAACATTACAACCAGATTCATTCCCCAAAATTCAAGCAAGACTATGCCCAGGCACAGGAAGGCTTACAGGTTTAACAACGTATCAACCAGATGATTATATACAGCAGCAATCTGATTTTACAACGTACGCATTGGCATCTCTCTCTCTCTCTCTCTCTCTCTCTCTCTCTCTCTCTCTCTCTCTCTCTCTCTCTCTCTCTCTCTCTCTCTCTCTCTCAAGGCTCTGTGTGTGCGTGTGTGTGTGTGACATGGTTGGCCTGCACTGCTTTCAAATCGGGAGTGAACCCAGAAAGAAAAAAAAAAAACAGAAGTACTAAATTAGCAAGTTAGCACTCGCATCATTGTCACAGTTTCACATAGTACCTACCACCATTGGGTGGGAAAGAACCCAAGGAATTTTGTTGAATAAAATCCACATACTGAACGAAAGAAAATGGGGTGATCTCTCTCTCTCTCTCTCTCTCTCTCTCTCTCTCTCTCTCTCTCTCTCTCTCTCTCTCTCTCTCTCTCTCTCTCTCTCTCTCTTTCTCTCTCTCTCTCTCCCCCCCCCAGGTCTGCTTGCTTTGAAAGGCTGAGAGGAGTTCCAGCAGCAGCAGCCAAGGTTTATCATTCATGATGACGTTACCATTTGCTCATTCTGATTCTCACCATCCTGAAGCCTTAATTTGTGTCCCTTTCTTTCCTAGAAAAAGAAAAAAAAAAGGTGAAACAAGGCTAGGCTAGGCTAGGCTAGCTTTATTGCTATCCTCTTTGACCTCTTATCGATAGATCTATTCGAAGAAGCTCTTCGCCTCTAAACCTCACTGACGGAGAGAGCTCACTCTATTTTCTCTCATTCAGTACGTGGATTTTATTCAACAAAATTCACTCCCGATTCACTGAAAGAAGAAGAAATAGAAACCCTCTTCTGTTTCTACTACTACTCTTCAACATCTTTGTTTTGTTTTTGTTTTTCCCTCCTCTTCGTCACCAAAGAGAGAGATTAGAAACACAAAAACAACAAAACCTGAGATTAGAAACACGAAAACAACAGAACCTTTTCAGCAGGGTGTCCGTCCGAACACACAATCCCATTCCCCCGTAGCGTCATGTGCAAAAAATATGTTCTCTCCTCTCGACTCCCCACCGTCTTCACCCGAATAGAACGCCGGGTAATTATCGCCGTATCTGGGCTGAAAGTTGTGCCAAATACAGTTATAATGACCGGGCGTTATATTCGGATGAAGACGGTGGCCAAGCCCCCTATGCAGTGCACATACAGTTGCCCGGTGAACACCATATTACATCAAATATTTTATTGTGGCACCTCTCCTGAGTCATGTGCTAGCGTTTTCAGGTCGTTATCGGTGGTGCTTACCTGATTGTGGCCCTTTCACCCTCCTTGGAACTCTGGTGTATAACAGCTTAAGCCTTTTGGGGTCATTTCGGGTCGAGCCTATCTCTTCGTAGCCCCCTCACTTGTGGATTTCACTGGTATCTTCGAGCTCAACAGCCTTTTTAACATTCTCAGGTGACCTTCTGTCTTTGTAGGCCCCTCACTCATGTTGCATACTTCAACGAGTATGGGCAGAACCAAAGATCAACCAATGTAGGATGAGCATATATGCAGCGGAAGTCTGATAAACGGACTGACTCACATAGACTGACTCACATAGCATCAYTCCACACACATACAATCGTGCGGTGGTGGGGTCTGAGCCATACATAGAAGATGCTCAGCCCCCGTACACACATACACAGATGAATGGGGAAGGAGAGACGAAGAGGTGGGGGAGGTAGACAGCACCGAAAGTCACYGAGATAGRATCTGATAGGTCACCGATATGGTAGTCCAAAATGTCATCCAACAAGATCAAAATGTCGAGGACCATAGGTCACCAATGTCGGGGATACAGAGTCCAAATGTAACCGGTGTCTGAACTGTGATGTCGCCAAGTACCAACCCCAACGATCTCCCAGTCTCCAATCTGGTAAGCACCACAGTCTCATACCACCGAAGTCCAATACCGATCTCTGTCCAACTAGTATAAGTCTCCAATCTGAAGAAGAAGAAGAAGAAGAAGAAGAAGAGGAAGAAGAAGAAGAAGAAGGAGGAGCCGAGGAGGAGAGAGAGAGAGAGAGGGGACTGGCGAGGGGAGGGAGGAGAGAGGCCTCCAACCCCGATACCTCAGGCGGCTATGGCCGCCGGCACACCCAGTCGCCGCTGCTGCTGCTCGCTCGCTGCTGCGCTAATGCTGCGCTGCCGCTCCTCGCTGCTCCTGCGCTAAACTTAGCGCCAGCGCTGTCTCGCGCTGTACCATACCGTACCGGTAGGATGCCGGTAGGTCGATGCCTCGAAGTGAGGCCGGACCGGTTCTTTATACCGGTGGGCAGAGGCCGGCCTCACTGCTGCGAGGCCTGGCCGTGCCCTGAACCGTCCAGATGGACGGTTCAGCCCCAACCGGCGGGCGGCAGCCTCAAGAGCGCCGCCAGGCCCAAACGGTRATGTCGTTTGGGCCTGCCYGTCGRGTCKGGTCCAAGGTGAGGCCTTTATGGCCTGTAGTACCCCAAGGTTGGGCCTTTAGGCCCTGGTGTGTCCCTCTAGCCCTAAGTCGGGTCCGGTAGGACCCGTGTGGCGT